GTACAATATATTTGCATCAACTTCTAAAAGTACAACAAAAAAAAAAACAAAAAAAAACTTCAAATAACAAAATTTGCAAAAATTTAGGTAGTATGTGAAAATAAGGACTTTACCATATTATCTTATTATTTATAAATGTTGTTACAATATGAAAATATCTATAATAACAAAATCAGAGAAAGATAAATTATTCCTAACTTTCGAGTCACAACATGATTATGACAAAATGAGAAAACATAATAATAAATTAATTATTCAATTAAAAATATAATATATAAATTGTTGGAAAGATGCCACAAATTATATAGATAATAAACAAACACAAAACTCTAAATTTGATTGTTTGACATATTATGTAAGAACGAATTTTAAAGATTTTGGAGTTGACAGATGTGTGAGAATAATGAGATCGAATGATTTATATTAAAATAATAATATTATATAAAGGAAATTTCAAATGTTTGTCCCATTTTCTGATACAACCATTTCTCTCTAAATCTTCTTCTCTTTTCTTTTCTCATCATTCTCTCTAAAATTCTCTCATCTTACTTCAGTTGATTTTCAATCAGACCGGGCTTAAGTAATCTTGGAGTCAAAAACATCCTTTTCCACCGATCAAAGTTTTTGTTTAGAGCTGGTTAGTCTCGATTTCTTGAGCTTTTGTGAGATTCCGAAACTTTTTGACACATGCAAGCCAAGTTTTTGGTTGCATGTGTTCATCAACTTCTTCTCATTTCTGATTACATTTCTGGTCTTTTGGTGGTCTATCCTCATCAATCAGTGAGCTATAGGTGTTCTTGGGATTTTCTGGAAGTGTGAGTAAATTTCTGGAAGGGTAGAAGATTTCTGTTCGGTTAAGAGGTAAGGGAAACTAGTTAATTTAATTGTGATTTTTTATGTATGAAATTATTGTTTGGATGGTTGCATGTCTGTAACTTGAATGTTTGATTGAATGTGTTGAATCTGTGAATGTGGAACCTGGAACTGGTGGAGTTTCTCTACATAAGTGTTCAGTCTGTTCTAATCTTAAGAAAATGGGTATGTGAATATGATAGTTTGGGGTTGGGAGTGAAATCTGGCATGAGACTCTTTGGGATTATGTTAGAACGATTTTAGGTACCTTTGGATAGGCTTAAAATGGTATATGAATCATGTTTGGAGGATTAGAAGTTGGGAAGTGGTAGGAATTGGTTGAAGATAGTTGTTGATCATAATTTTGCAGTTATGCTGCAGAATTATGCAGATCGTCGAGTGTTACTCATTAACCTTTCGGCTTGGTTTTAACTGAGTTCCACTTTTGTAGAGCTTTTCAGTTAATGACCGATCGGTCTTGTACTAGTATTCTGTTTTAGTAGCGATCGGTCATAGTGGGTGTGTGTCTTTTAGTAGCGTTGTTATTAGGGGTTGTGTGGTTCTTAGTAGCGACGGTGCATAGGGGGTGGGTGGTCTCGTAGTATCGAGCGGGTGTTAGTGGGTTGTGTGGTCTCTTAGTAGCGATCGGTCATAGTGGGTGTGTGGTCTCTTAGTAGCGATCGTTATTAGTAAATTGTGTGGTCTCTTAGTAGCGTTCGTTCTTGTACTAGTGCTCGACCTCGTACTTGTATTTTAGTAATGAGTATCAACTCTAAGTGTTCGGCCAACTATAGGTGTTCGGCCTAAGCCATAAGCGTTTGGTCCAAACTTAATACTTGGTATGGTGGTAGTATTCGGTCATGTGGTGGTACTCGGAATCCTCTAGTTGGAGGTCAGTAATAGTGCTCGGCCTCTCTTCAGCTGTATCTCTTATTGATCGTTTGGTGTTCTTTAGGTAGTGAGAGAACGATCGGTCTCCAACATTCACAGAGTGTTCGGTCTCTGTTCATATGTGTTGGTTATTCTATTCGAACTTATATTTTATTCCAATGTGTTAGGATAATTAATTGTTCCAATTGCTTTGATGGTTGATGTATGCATTATCATAAGGGTGTCAAATGGAAAGTATGGTATGATTAACTTAAAAGAGAAATTCCAAGGAGGAATGTCTTCAGTTATTGGTTTATCAAGGTGGTGGTAAAGTGTAAAGTATGAATATGGACAGCGAAATCCACGGCGTTCATCCTGATATTCTAATTATTACCAAGTCTCAAGTAGAGGATGGGTAAGGCATATCGTGAGAATAGTAGGAGGCCCTAGTGTAAGGGGGGACACCTTAGGTGAAGGATAACGGGCTAACCTCGTGCGACAGGTGATGGGTTTCCAGTTACTACACCCACGAGTACACGAACAACCAAAGCTAAATATTCATACAATCCGGATGGTCATGTCAAGTGTTTGGTCATTGCCTGTAATGTATGGTCGGTTATTGTATGCTTTAAAATGTTCGATTGACATGTGCTTATGTATTTGTTTAATTTGCATGATAACTGTAATAAATTAAATTACTCTAACTTACCCTTGCTTTTTTGTAGCTTGTCTTTGTATGTTATTTCTCTTTTGCGATGAGCACCTTAATGGTGTGATCTTAGGGATACCAGTCTTTTCAGTTAGAGCAGTTGAAGGGGGAAAGTGAACCTGATAGTATAAGTAGTTATCTTGTTCTTCAGGTGAAATTTTGATCACATGTTAGTTCTGTTATATCATTATCTATGTAATGTTTCATTTTAGTAGTTTTATATTACTTTTCACTTATTTTTTTCCATCTTTTCTTTCTTTTACATTTTTCATTAACATCTTTTTTTCGGGTTGATTTTCTTTATATATTATTTCGTGTGACCGAGTTAATTAATAATATAAAATTAAAAGAGTTTTCAATAACTTAGTAGGTTCAGGTCTATACGGTAGCATAGCAGGAATTTTTAAACATTTTCTTGTTAGTTTAAGGCGAGACTTGAACTTATACGATGTAACAAAACAAATGGCTTCAAAGAAACATTTCTACAACGTTCTTCTTTTCTCACAATGTATTTTTCTTGAATTCCGTGATTTTAATAATATTTTTTAGTTTTATTAATCTGCATAGACATAAAAAAATACAAGTATCGATTAAGGTTTAATAATATTTTTAGTTATATTAATCTGCATGGACATAATAAAAGTGTATTAAGAACTTATGAAGGATACTTGCACGCCAGGATGTTTCGGAACCATTTTCTTCTTACAAGGATCAATTAAGGTTTGGTAAATTCTTCTTCACTTTAGTTTACCATGTTGATACTGTATGAAATAAATTTTATTACATGCACTAATCACTATGGATGTTAAGAGGTTGATGGGTATTTGAGGTATTCGGGGAGGGGCGTTTGAGGGGGGAGTAGCCGGAGGAAATCGATGTGGAAGATGGTGACCGAGGATGGGGACGGAGGTTTGTGGTGGTTATGGTCGACGAGGTTGCGGTAGTGGTGGACATGGACGAAGATGCAAGGAAGAACGGAGAAAAGCTGGGAAAAGTAAAAAAAAAATAACGTGACACACCACCGTTAGCCAGCTCAACTGAATTTTAACGCCGTTAGTTTTGGAGATTGAAAAACTATGGTTTCTTTAAGAAGAAGGATCAAAGTGTACATAATTTAAAAGAGGAACAAAAAACAAAATCACTTGATTAGTTGAAGGACTAAAAACATATTTAACCCAAATTCTAAAAATATTTTATATCATAAATAACCTAATTTAATTTGTAAAAAATATTAGATTATTTTATTTTCTGTTATTATAAATGTTTAATAAACGTTACCTTTTATTATAAATATTTATAAATTTTTATTATAACTTAAAAAACAATACCAACAAAAAGTAGTAAAATAAAAAAGTCTCCATACATATGATATGTATCTGATCTTTAAAAATTCCACGTTAAATAACTGATGAAAAATATTATATATATATATATATATATATATATATATATATATATATTATTTTAAACAGCAATCCTTATAAATAGCAAATATTTTAGATGCATTGCTTGAATCTTTAATTTACTCTGAAACTTTGTTTGCAGTAATAGAATACAATAGAATGGAAGCGACACTAAGATTGGGGAATTGAATATACAAGTAAGAGGAATTGAATACAACCTCTTTCACTTTAGTGTGTTAAGGCTTCGTGTGGAAGCACTTTTTTTTTTTCATCTTCATCCACCAAGGTAGTTAATAAACAGCATAGATCAGTCTTTTCTTAGCTATTTCTTGGTCTTCCTTTCCAACCAAATGGTTTCAACATTTAAAAACAAGAAAAAACTCACAAAAACCATTACCTAGTGACATGAGTTTTCCTGCCTTTTTACGCCGTAATCGCTTGTATTTTTGAGATTTCAATCAAAATCACTGAAAATCTGAACATATTAATCCAAACATATTAGCGAAGTGATAAAAAAGTACATAGTCCGCAAATCAACTTAAATCCATCTCCTAGGTTGAAATGAACACAGATCTTGTAAATCCTGATCGTAACCTTTCCTTCTAAATAGTATAATCTGCGGAGGGTGAACATTAGGCTGTTTTTTTTTTTTTTTTTCATAAGGAATTCATTTAAAGATCCTTTTCAATTGGAAAATTTTAATTAAAACTAAATTGATTTAATTCTTTCGAAACTTACCATATCAAGAAACCCAATTTTGGCACTTCCAAACGCACCTTTCATGAAAAGTAACTTTTACTTCCATAAGGGTATATCTCCCAATCATTGTTCAGAGATTAGTTCATTCATTCTTAATGATAAGTTCCGTAAATTTGGATGGAATTAGAAAGAACGTTGACAATTAAGACCACTTATATGTAAGAGATCATTCTGAACTAGAAACTTTGAATTCTTTTTTTCTAGACATGCCAAATTCCTAAATAAGAGGGTAAGAAGAAAAGAGGAATAGCGGCGAAAAAGAAGCGTAGGACGGAAAGGGGGAAAGAAGAAAGCCGGGAGAAGGGGACGAAAAAAGGGAAAAAGGGAAAGGAGAGGATACAACGAGGAAGAAAAAGGGGGAAAAAAAAAAGAAAACGGGGAGCAGCACCAGTGTAAATTAGAAAAACCGAGAGCAAGAGAGTGAGGAGAACAAGGGCAGAAGAGGGGGATGAGCCACAGGGGCGCAATGGGGGCAGACAGATACCTTCGAAAGATGATGACAGAGTATGGTAAGTGAGGAAGCATGCTTCCAATTCCTTTTCATTGTTTCGGCTTGGGACAGTATAAATTGGGTACCTATTCAATGATGAAAATTCAGTATAACATCTATGTACTATGGAAATTAACAGAGGCTAATCATCTGATAGAAAGTAACATAAACTAGATAAGATGAACTTTGCCATGAGATCAACCACAATATCACATGACATGATTCAGTTCAGTTATATACCAAATCTTCAGAGATAGCAACAAACTATGCTCACCAAGAAACAGCCATCCAACTTGCTGGGGAAAGATCAACACTCTTCAATGTCAGTAATGCAGGATGGGTTCGAGCTAACTCATCAATCTGAAACACGAAAACCAAAAACAATGTAACAGGTGAGTGTAGTGACATACAAATCCAAATATGTATGTCATTTCCATTGGTAAAAACTGCTGCTTGACAAAATAAGAATACCTTCTCAGCAAGAGGAACCCTTGAGTAAGGAGAAGCCATCTCAGTGTACTGTAAGTAAAGGTAGCCAAGCTTGTTATCCCTTAGCCAGGAACCCTCCTGATCACAGCATGAATCCTCAGAAACAGCATCCTCCCAAGATTTTCTGGAATTGTTACTCAATGATCTAGAAAGGTTATCACTTGAACTATCCTCACTCCAGGAATCACTTTCAAATTCAACTCCATCACTATCCTCTCTCCGGTTGCTGCATAACAAAAAACAGAAACTCAATTACACCATTTTTTGACATGTTTAGCACATACACACTAGGCTTTGTTGTCTCCTACATACCGAGATGCTGCAACAGACTTGTTGCTGTAGATTTGGATAGCAGATAGGTATGGAACATAGTACTGAGTCACAGTCTCACCATCCTCCAACATCACTGGAGTACCAGCACCATACGCACTCCATTCATAGTAGCAGTCCCAAAGGTCTTGAAGAGTGAAGTATTCAACTTTCTCCTTGCCAAGAGGCTGCCAGAGTGGATTTAGATCATTAAAGCAGCTCTGCAAATTACATGATAAAAGCAAAGAAAATTAAGGATACCAATCACCGGGTAATGGTCCTTCTTCCTTCTAATAAATTAATCAATAGCAACGTTTCTTAATTCAAACACATCCAGCACTAACTTACACAACTTCACTTCCTCCAATCTTTTGACTATAAACAAAAGTAGTTTATTACAAAAGGACAACTAATGCAAGAGTAGTCGGTATATACACTGAATATGTAAACGATGTTATCCTGTTAATCAATAACAAAGTAAATTTGTTCAGTTTTAAAATAGCAGTGGTTCCCAGTGACAAGTTCTCTATAGCAGCAATGCATGTAAAGTAAACTAATTACACCGTCAAATATTGCAAAAGAGGTTATGTGTATGAAACTAGAGTTAAAATGAAAAAGACACAGTCCTTATTTCTTCTACAGTGATGTTTATAAACTACCAATGAATCGAAGATAGAGTTTAGGCCAACAGAATTTGATAAAATATAAGGAACAGCAGACAAAAAAAAGTCGTTAGCCAAAAAGCAGTAACAGCTTGAAAAGCATCGGTTTTGGTAGCACCTAGCATATTCCAGAAAACCCTGTTTTCTTTTCCTTTCCATCATTTGTCTCCCTTATGGAAATCCAAAAAGCATTGACTGATTCTCCAAACAGCAGATGCTGATGGAAAACCACTCAATAAATGACATTGTAACAATAAGGCAAGTTTGAAAACGGAAGTAGGAAAATCCCAGAGGACATATCTTCTTCAGTAATAGATTGTCACAAAAAATCAACTATTATAATACTAGTATGAACATTTTTTCACGAGACGACCAATCAAAACGTTGGCTTGTGCCCACAAATTCTGCAATTACCAATTTCCCCGTCACATACGACACACGATGTAAAGTAGAAGCAGCCACAAACACAAGCTCATCTCATTAATGAAAAAAGATGATTTTATCTTAAAAGTTTGGCCCTTGTCCCTTGAACCACATGCCAAGATTGAAGAAGAACCCTATATTTCTCTCCAAGTCAAATCAAGTATCATAATTTCCACGTAAAATCATGTTGTCTATAAACAATTACCCATCGTTCATGCCTAATTAAGACAAAAGCCATCAGAATTCCCTCAGAAATATATTAATGATCCCTCTTTCTGAAAATTTGCCTTCCTAATCTAGATATTTTTTGAATTTTCTAATCAAAGAATGATTAGGGTAATGTCATCAAATTTGAATTCTACAAGCAAAGTATATAAAAAAATGCCTAATTAATTATTTACTTTCAATTTTTTTCAAACTGGAATTGCGGAAAGAATAATGGGAAATCTCATATCCAAGTAGGAAGACTAATTTCATGCAATTGGGTTAAAAAAAGACAAAATAATAAATGAAATTTGTAAAGAAAAAAACATATAATCTGACTTTTCTAAACTAAAAAAAGTAATATATAGTAATAGTGGTTTGGAGGGTATATTTTAGGTATATAGTAATGGATTTGTGTAGGGTATATTTTAGGTACTTTTTTTTTTGTTTTTTAAGGAGATTTAATACAAATTATTTAAAACAAATTATCATAAAGAGACCTTTTAAATCCCCTTAAAAAAACAAAAAAAATACCTAAAATATACCCTACACGTATCCATTACTATATACCTAAAATATACACTCCAAAACACTATTACTGTACATTACATTTTTGAAAAATTAATAATTATATAATAAAGGTATTTTTTTTGAGGCAATAAAACACTGGTGTCAATGTCAACCATGATTCAAAAATTACTTTATGCACCATAATAATTATAAAATGACATGTGGACAAAGATTTTTCAAAGGGCATCAAATGGATATTCCCTTACACAAAACAAAGGATTTATTTTACGACATCGTTTTAGCCTATCCATAGAAAATATGCAGAATTATGAAAATACTAGTGATAATAAGATATTATTTTTTATATTAATTGTAAAATAACGGATATATTAAGGTTATTAATTCAATATAAACGTATTTCATCAAACTTAAAAATTTAATATTATAATTAATCTGACAGTTACTATTAAATTCTTAAATGAAGGAAGTTAAAGTCATTAATGTTATACCAGGTTAACAAAGACCCCGCTAAAACAAAACACATACAACAAAATAAAAATAACAAATATTTCTGATAAAAAAAAGTAAATAATATCATTATTTTTAAATAGAAAAGTAATTTTCTTTCATTTTGATTATTACAAAATTTCATTCACAAAACAAATATTATCCCACAGTTCTTTTGAGAGAAAAAAGACACTGATATTCTCATTTATTAGCTGAGTTCGGATGTTGAAAAAACAAAGCTACATCTTTAATTTTTTATTTTTCGTATCCACTTTTGGAAATTCCAATAATTAAATTAATTTGTTTAAGAAAAACCTCTAATATCAATCTTTCTATCATATTC